AATTGATATGAACACCAGCCTGACTTGGTTACGGAAATAGAACCTGTAACAATTTTATGGGACTACACAATACACACAGACAAAACAATCAAAACTAACCGCCCAGACATTATTATTAGAGACCGAAAACGAAAAAAAAATTGCCTCTTTATTAGTACAGCAGTCTCTACAGACTGCAATGTATTTTTGAAGATCTTTAAAAAGCTATCAAAATACAAGGACCTTGAAATCGAAATCTCAAAAATGTGGTACATGAGGTCATCAACAGTCTCCGTTGTAGTTGGTTGAAAAGTATTCCAGTAGACTCATTGAAGAGATTCGTGGAAGCCCATGCCTTAAAAAAATACAAAAAAATCACTTTACGAAGGGCTTAATCTAATGTAAAATATATGTGTGTGTGATTTTTAAATTGTTCAGTGGAAAATATCATGATGCCATTTCTGAACTCAGGTCACTGGGCGGGATCTGGAAAGAAATCTGGGTACACCAGAAATCAAAAAATTGTGAAGTCCCATAAAATCGTTACAGGTTCTATTTCCGTAACCAAGTCAGGCTGGTGTTCATATCAATTTCTTTCTGTTTAATTCCCGTAGAAGTTGTAGATTTTCCAGTGCAGATATTGAGCCACTCTGTCATGCCGTGTGTTATATTCAGTGGGTGCCAATACCGTGCACCCTGATACAAGAAGGTCACGTGTTTCTTCCTATTTGTCACAGAATCTGCATTTTGAGCTAAAATAAAAATAACAATAATTTTGGCATTAAATAAACAAATATTTGTTGATACAAAAAAAACAACAACCAACCTTACTCCATCAGTCCTGCAACCATCGTTTATGAGTCGTATTTGTGCTCATGAGTGACACATCTCAGATAGGGAAGGCTTAGTTTGCTAAATAATCCAGGCTAAAAACAATCTCCATTGGCACATGAAGCTACAGCTTTACCAGTGAAGCCAAGATACTTATCCAAACACGGAATATTCATGTTATTTGAGCACCGACGCAAAGAAGATTTGCATTACAAATCACACCCGCAAAAAATTGTTGGTATTAACATGTTCTGTTGACAAGAGAATTGCTCAACAGGAATTAGTCATTGCAAAGCCATTGTTTATTTCTGTGTTGCGATTCTTAAAAATCGATTTAGCTTTGCTTACTCTATCATCTACCTGTGACCAAACACGCCCAACAAACGGCGACTATCACCTGACGATAATTAACGAGTTGACTTGTAAGATGGAGGGAAATTTAATGGTTCCATTTAGCTGTTTATATATATATATATATATATATATATATATATATATGTGTGTGTGTGTGTGTGTGTGTGTGCGTGTGTGTGTGTGCGTGTGTGTATTTAAAGGATGTATATGCTTCGGATGTTGTTCAGGATATGTGGGCAAAAAGAAAGTTGTAATCAATTTATATGAACTGGTAATTGTATCAATTGATACTTAGATCTAAATTACTGCTAATGAGTAAAATATCTATTTTTATTTGTTGATGTGACTTACAAAACAGGGAAAATGATTAGTATTTTGCACACGATAGCGAAACAAAACGGAAAGGAGAGAGCGTAATGATGAGTAAATAAGAACGGGGAAAAAGACAAGAAACTTGTGAGGGTTGGATAGAAACATTAGAGAGACAAACAGTTAGAAAGAAAAGACATTTAATATAAGGTAACCAAAAAAAAAATTCTTCCGTTGGTGGGTATGGGAGGCATTGGTCTTGATCAATTCAGGTGCCTATAGCTTGAGCAGCGATAAGGAAACATGGCAGTGTCGAAGCAGTACGTTCGGGGTTGCCTGCTTTCTGAGTTTAAGGTGGGCTTGTCGGCAGCCGTATCAAGTCGCCGAATACGTCAAGCCTTTGGGATAATGCTGCCAGTGAACGCACCGCCAGACATTCGTTCCAGTCAGAAGATCTGTCTCTTTGTGATAAACCCCGCAGTGAGCGAGTACAGATACTGTATGATGAAGTCCTGAAGGCGGCCTCAGAGGAGGACAACAACCAAACATGTGATGAGCTTACCAACTACATCTAGGTTTCTGATAAAAAAGACTTTACTTACACCGCCTAAGGAAGGCGTACAAGTTGAGCAAGTGGGTACTGTTCAGGTGCCTATAGTTCGATCAGCAGCAAGGAAACATGACAGTGTCGAAGCAGGACGTTCGGGTTGTCTGTTATGGTTTAAGTTGGGCTTGTCCGCAGCCACATCAAGTCGCCGAATAAGTCAAGCCTTTGGGGATAATGCTATCAATGAACGCACTGTCAGGCATTGATTCCAGAAGATCAAGTCGGGAGATCTGTCCCTTTGTGATGAATTTAGCAATGACCGGCCACAGGTTCTGGATCATGAGGTCCTGAAATCGGTCATAGATTAGGGCAACAGCCAAACCTATAGTGAGCTTTATGAATGCTTCTAGGTTTCTGATGAAATAGTCGGACTTAACCTGCGCCGCATAGGAAAGACGTAAAGGTTGAGCAAGTGGGTACCCTACACACTGTCAGAGGTCAGCAAGAAACAATGAATAACAGCCTGTTTCTCGTTGCTTTCTCGATACTGCAACGTACTCATATTTGATCGAGCGCTCACCAGTGAATAAAAGCATGTCCTGCATGACTGCCAAGCGTCAGACATTGGTTGTCCCCACGGGGTTCTCTGCCTCATACTACAATATGATATCTACATACACGCATGATCATAAACTGTATCTGGTGAACTAGTAGACAAATGTTGCACTATGACATGCTACCAATGAGCCAAACTATCACTGCGGTCCTGTACTTGAAGCAGTTGGAATGTGTGCAATAGGCACGATATTGAGTTACCCCCCCACACACACGAGGGTGTCATGTGGCACAAGGCCTTTTTAACGTGGGCATTCCGAGCCCGTGGGCTCGGCCAAAAATATGCCCATTGAACCCGTATAAACGGGTTCAGGGCCGGTTTACCTCCCCGAAGGAGACTCCGCCCTTCGGCGAAGCCTCCTTCGGGTTCCTCCCGTCCGTAGGAAGAAAGTTCAACCGAGCAGTCTGTTCAAAAGTGAACTACTGACTATGTGTGCAATAGGCACTGAAGCAAGAGCCACCATTACTTAATCGCAAGGATATACCTTTTCTTCATGACAATGGCAGGCCTCACGTGGCGCAGATAGCTCGGGATAGCATACGGTGACTTAGTTGGGAGACACTGTGCCACCCATTTTACTCCAAGGAAATTGTGCCAACAAATTATCACCGCATCTATTCCCTGGACAATCACATTCGTGAGAAATCCTTTGTAAATTATGTAAACTTGCAGTAGACATTCCCAGACGTCGTTGCATCCAAGACACCTGATTTTTACCATCAGGGCATTACGCAGCCGGAGGAGCGTTGGCAAACAGTCCTGGAGGCCGATGAGGATTATTTTGAGGACTAACGGTATGTTAAATTTGATGTATACCTTTTTTATTCTAATAAATTATAAGCGGCAAGAGATTTTGGTTACCTTGTAGACTAGAAGCGAAAATGAGGCAAGAATTGTAATTAAAAATTGAAGAAAGAAAGCGTGAAATTCTACCAGCACAAAACATACAAGAAAGAAAGGCAAGAATAAAAAGAAAGAAAAATGAAAATAAAATAAAAAAGAAAATGAAGGCAAAAGAAAGATTATATAAAAAGGTAAAAATTATATTTCGTTAAGTGACTTACTGTTTGTACCTGCTGCAATTCAATTCAATATGTCCTACAGATTTAACAGGCCCTCTTTCTTCACAATGTATCCCAGGAATTACAACTCTTTCTAATCGTGTGACTTTTCTTTTTAGTTCCTAAGTTTCCTAAAACTTCCTCGTTGTTCACATGTTCTCTCCATGGTACTCTCAGCATTCTTCTGTCGAACCAAATCTCTCTTCTGTCACGTCACTTTTTCACATATGAGGAAATTACTCTACCTTTATGATATATTATGAGAGTGTCTCGTAACTTGTATCTTACCTGCATAAAACTCATCTGGCTGCTAATATAGACAATTCCTTACAACAGTTTTTACTTCTTCATAACCTTTGCCCCTCAGTGCTTTTTTCACAGGATCAAAGTTGTGGGAGCTAAGCCGAGTGGTGATGAAGATGTGAACACTGCTGCAAGGAATTGATTACATCAGTAGCCAGCTGAGTGTTACGAAGCTGATATACATATCCTCATTCGTAAGTGGAACACTGCCAGTAAAAGAGGTGGTGACTATGTTGAGAAATGGGGATGTGAAGATACGATGTAGAGCTATATCTTCATGTACGATATGTTTGATTGTGTTGACTTATTTCTTATATATTAAAACAAATTACCTTTTGACTCTTAATGTGCCGGAAAAATTTAGCGGTTGTACAATTTCCTCAGATGTGAAAAAAAGGGCTCTGAAGCGAAAGAGAGTTTGTTTTACTGACGAATGCTAAAAACAGTATAGGCTTAACACGTGAGCAACGAGTAAGTTTTAAGGATATTAGAACCTACACGAAAATTCGATTAAAAAGAGTTTAGATTTTTGGGACAAAGAAAGTGGCTTGTAAAACCCACAGGACATATTGGAGGTAAGAGAAGCAGGTACAAGCAACAATTAATTTGAAGAGGTCTTGTGAATGACTGGAAGAACAAAGAAAAAAGGAATGGTAAAATGTCAAAAGATTCTTAGAGTATCAAACGTTTAGGGGTTGTAGTTGGCCATTATCGCTCACGTCGTATAGGAATAGGGCACAGGAAGAAGTGCTCTATACTTGAGGCTTGGGGCCAACAATAAGTTAAACTTTGTAAATAATTCTTACTGAAAGCTTCGGTTCTCGTTTGATTACTGAAGTTAAGCAACGCGAATTGTACAGTATTTAATATAGGTGATTGCTGAGAAACCCTATTTTACTAATAGTAGTAGTAGTAATGATAGTAGAAGAAGAAGAAGAGGAGGATGAACAGGAAGAGGAAGAAGGAGGATTGAAGAAGAAAATAGAGGAGAGAGAGAGAG